CTCTTCTTCTCTTCTTCTCTCTCTCTCTCTCTCTCTCTCTCTCTCACACACACACACACACTCACTCTCTCACTCTTGCAGCACACATGCGTGGCTCACACGGTGTACATAGCGCGCACCGCCGCTATCTCGTGTCCTCGTGTGTACTTCGCGTTTGCGTTCTGCAAGGGGTATGGGGGATGGTTTTATTGATCGTGGGGCAGGAAACGCTTTCGCGGCGCCGCGCATTGTGATTGTAAAACGAAGAAGCATCCGCGGAGTCACTCTTGAGATTTTTCTCGAGATACGGAAACAGACGGTATCGGGAGAAGGAGCGGGGTGGGAGGAAGGGGCATGGGCCTCTCCTGCACGGGCCGACGCCGATTGACATCCACAGCCCCCACAGGGTCGTCGATATCGATCCACAAGTTGGCATTTTCATAATGCGCCTAAATTACCGCGCGTCGTGATCCCCCATGTGCACCCCCGACGCGTTTTTTGTGCAGAAAATGCAAAGGCGAAGGAGATAGATTTGCGCGCGCGACTCGCATTTTCTTGGCGTCGCGAACGGCGAACGACCGTCTCGTAAAGCGACGGGAAGTAACCGGGAGCTCCTTCGAGACGTGGAAAAAGCCGTGCATTTTTATCCTGGCGATTCCTTCCCGTCTTGTATCCTCGCCTTGTATCCTCGTGCGTCTTGCGAGTCGGGGCGCAAAGGGCACGGCAGGGCGTCGCGCCGCCGTCCTACAAAGAGTCTAATTACTGCCGTGCGACATGCCCTTTTGCGAGGAACGCGTCTCATTACGCGTATAAATAAAGCACGCATTACGATACGTAGACGTAGGCATTTATTCGTGACACACGCCTCTCGCATGCACCTTTTTTTTTACGCGTGAGATAGCGGAGACTACTCGGAGAGGAGAGAAAGAAAAAAGGGGTAACGCGAGCGAAACGGCTGTTCGAAGTATCGGGTTACGAAGTACTGAAATCCTCTCTGAAGTACCATTCGAGATACAATATGAAGTTCTTGCCCCCGCACACGTAAAAGTTTTCCACCGGATTTCCACCGATCACGTTCACATCTCTATCGATGACTTCGTCGCTTCTCTTCTTCTTCTTCTGATTCCCGCGAGGAACGCTCAACTTTCTGCATTACACTTCTGCCTATGATCGTGAAAATTCGAAGGGGACGAAAGCCAAGTCTGACATCGTATATATCATATCACGAAAAATATCTTTGCTATTTCTCTTTTTTTTTTATAAAGTTATGAATCAAGGAAGAACATGCTCTGCTGTTTCTTTATATTTTTTTTATAAATTTATGAACATATCAAGAGAGAAAATATAACATTTTACAAAGTTGCTTTCGTCAAATGGAGTGTTTTTATTTTATGGATTGTACACCCGCGATGTCCATCTACTACAACTCGGCTATGGAGATTAAATAATCATCTTACGCTTCGGAATAGGAATAACTGCGAAATTGCTTTTTCCTCGCTAAATGATTCGTTTCACATATGAATTATGTATGCATCCACATCTCTCATGGCGATGAAGTCATTCTTTAAAATAGTTCGTTAAAATAAGAGAGCGTAACTTTCGCCGACCTCCCGAGAAGCGAGAGAAGTACGGAGAAAGAGAGAAGAAGAGAGAGAACAGTTACAATGCAAATAGCTGCAAAATGTACAACGGACTATTTACTACTTACAAGCTGTAATATTATTGGATATGTTTATATGAATGAATTTACGTCATGCACGGCGTGCAAATGGTTGCGCGCTCTTTCGGACCGAGACGGAGAGGACAGAAGTGATATGCACATAAACGAGAGAGGGTCAGTCGGCGGCCCTTGAAAGAAAAAAGAAACAAGAACAAAAAAAAAGAAAACGAGACACGCGCGTCGACCAGAGAAGATCCTTTCGCAGAGGGGCGAGAAACTGCGCGCGTCCGTCGCCGCCGATCGCTTTGACACGCGCGATTCCATCGCAGTGCATCCTGTAAAACCCTGTAAATAGATTCCTGTAGGCCTTTTAGATGAATAGAGGTAGTGAATTAGTCAGTGCTGAGATAGAAACGCAGACAGAATTTTTGCTGAAAATAGAGCAAAACGGGGGCTGCCGAGAGAGAGAGAGAGAGAGAGAGAGAGAGAGAGAGAGAGAGAGAGAGAGAGAGAGAGAGAGAGAGAGAGAGAGAGAGAGAGAGAGAAAGAGAGAGAGCTAAATGAGAATGCGTAGAGGCGCAGCTTGTGAGACCCCCAAGCGCGAACTTTCCTTTTCCCGTTCGCCACGCCGGTAGTAGTTGTCGAGATTTTGATTAGTTTCCATAATATACGCGCGATTCAATTATTTGGCCACATTGCTCGCTCGGGAGCAGGCATGTAGATCGCTTTATCGACATCTCGCGCGCTCTTCGCAGTAACGTAATTTCAACGGAATGGAATTGACCTGACATTTTCTTTCTACGTCGCGAGATCACGGCGCTTTGCCAGCTTCGAGCGTGGGCATAAGTTTTTCGTCGTACATCAGAGAAAAAAAAGAAGAGACGAGTAGACGAGAGAGAAGAGAGAAAAGAAAAAAAAAAAGGAGAAAAAGAGATGATTTCGCGACGCGATTAGAAAAACGTGAGACGTAGGCGCGCGAGGAAATAGAAATTCGCTGCGGACTGTAGAGGGAATTGACTGAGCCAAAGGGTTGTCTTTCCGGTGTTGCAGGATGCACGCGGTTGGATTGCACTCGGCGCTGGCCATCAAGCGTCAGCGAATGCGCCGGGACGAGCAGCGTCGCGCGCGCGAGCGTCGTTATAGCGCGCAATCGGGCGAAAGCGGCCTGACGTCGCCTAGGGCCTCGACCGGATCGCTGGACCATCACGGCAGGCATCGCAAGGGCACGCATGGCGGGGCGCGCGTCGCCGGCCAGGGTGTGCTGGACACGAAGGTGGTCACCTCGATCGGGATGCTGCACATCGGCGTGGTGTTCCTGGTCCTGGGCGCCTTCCTGCTGATGAGCGGCCTGCTGCCGGGCGATCTCGCCCACTGGGGCACGAAGGCAACCGGCGGCTGGTGGAACGAGCTGGTTGCGGTCGGTCTGTTCGCGATCCTCGTCGGCATCTTCCTGATCGTCCTGAATCGCGTGATCGCGAAGAAGGAGGAGGACGACCTCGAGGAGTACGTTCAGCGGCAGCTCACCAGATCCCGATCCGGGCACCGATTGGAGCGCGACGTGGAGACCGGCGGGCTGACCACCCGTCACGCCAGACGGGCGAAGCAGATGAAGCAGGTGTCGTCGGACACCTGCCTCGAGATCAAGGACAACGGCAAGATCGATGACGGCGGCGGCGGCGGCGGCGGCGGCGGCGGCGGCGGCTCGCCGCCATGCAGTCCGCCGCCGGCATACACGCCGCAGATCGCAGTCAACAGCGACAATCAGTCGGCGGTCCAGACGGCGCTGTACCTGGAGCAGATCACCGAGGAGGAGATCATCAGCGACCGCGTCGAGACCTCGACCACCAACAGCCTCAGCCCGGGCTCGCCCAGCGAGACCCGGGAGCTGTTGCAGAACGCGCGATACTCGAAGCAGAACGGGAATCCGCAGCAGGTTCACCGGCCGCTCTACATCTCCAAAATCTAAACGGTAGAACCGAGGGAGGAGGGGGGAGGGGAAGAGGAGAAGGATGAGACGCGATGATATGTGGATAACGCACACAGAAGAGAAGGCAAAAGCGCGCGAGAGAGTCCATTTTTCAGCCAGAAAAATTCTTCGCATCTTCCGACCGCGGTATTTTTAGGAGTGAATTTCCGCAAAATCGACGCCGGAATGTCACGTACGAAGGGATTGCGCTGATATCCGCGATGATGAAATCGCGAGGAGGAAACGCGACGCGAAGAGGAACGCGAAGGCGAGGCGAAACGACGTCGTCCGGAATCTATGAGACACGCGAAAGAAAGGCGAAATCCCCTCGTGGATTAAGCGACGACTTTTCCGCGACGTAACGCTTTCCGTATTCCCGAAAGGGGCTGAAAAGGGCGCAGTCGTTTCGCGTCGCTCGAACGAAGTTTCCCCCGGAGGAGAAGGGAATTGAGGGAAGCTTGGAAAGCGAAACATTCGATAATCATAACACATAATCACAAACACACACGTATAACACGTTCGATGGACAAGGAAGAAATCGAATCAAGGACCAAGAACACTACCCGTGGAGATTATATCGTAGAAAGAGGCACAACTTTACGAAACGACTTTGCTGTTAAAACGCATTCTATATACATATATAAATACATATATATATATATATATATATATACATACTTGGAAATATTCGATATAAATAATTTGTTGGAAATAATCGTTTATCTTAAAAAAAAAAAAAATCTATTAGACGTATAAATAACGGCGCGTACTACGATAATTCTCTGTG